TTTATTTAAAGAGGCGCCAAGTGCTGCCACGACTCTACGCATTGCAGTCCTGGTTTGACGACCGCCGGGGGCCTGCTTGCCCCACCCCGGCTGCCGTACTGGGCCCTCCGCATCCCCTACACTGCGTAACGGTTTGATGCTGAGGGACACTTCCATGCGGATTTTTTTCTGGTACTCCTTCCCATAGCGTTTTTTGGAGCTGAGCCGCCCAGCTTAAAAGGAAACGGGAGAAGAGAAGGGGGCAGCCCGAAAAAAGAGTTGTTAGAATAGAACGGGTAAAGTCGAGAAACGGGACTCCCCTAGCCCTCAGCAAACCCTAATAGCGCCGTGGGCGGGTCAGAAACAACAAGACAGTTGGCCGATAGAAGCGTTGGCCTAAGGCAGAGAACAGAAGTGTGGCCACAAGTAAGTGGAAGTATGACACACCAAGTTAGAAGTGGGAATTACCGGATATTGCTGGGAGGCACCAGAACGCGACAAAGCTGTCTCCGATTAGTCGCCTTCTAACGACGGAGGGGAGGTCCTATGGCTGCTACTTCTACTAAAACTCCTGACACCACAGCGGGGAACTATGTTAAATTTGATGTAGTTGCAAACATAATTGATATGTATTATTAATGTAATTATTATAATTAATGTAATCATTATTATTGATGTAATTATTATAAGTAGTAGCATTAAAATATCATATTGAATTGTTAATTATTAGCAGATAACTTATCTACTGTATAATATCTTAATCTAACTGTAACAAGTATTGTATTTATAGGCCAATGACCCCATCTCGATCAGGTTTTGTTCAGTTTCCCTGATCCTTTGAGCAAATGCTGAGATGGCCCCTTGTTTGCTCCTGAACAGTAATATAACTTCGCTCTCTCCACCCAAGGCATCATATTGACTCGTTATACACGATTGTAATTGTATATGTGTATATGTGACTCAATAAATATTATTATTATTATTATTATTATTATTATTATTATTATTATTATTATTATTATTATTATTAATATCATTGAACTTAGTGAAGAATACTAGGGCACTAACAAAATTCAGTAAAACATATTAATCAATCAAACTACCTTTTGAAAGAGGAATGGCACATGAGACCACATTAAGAATACATATTATTTCAAAAACAATACTCTTGGAAGGATCACGAGTTAGGACAATAAAAAGTAGGGATTGCCAAAAATTGGAGACCATGCAGGTGAGATTTCTACTTCTATCACACAGTCATGTCATTAGAGTCATTAAGTCATTAAGTCATTGAGTCATTAAGTCATTGAGTCATTGAGTCATTAAGTCATTGAGTCATTGAGAGATCAGCAAAGTAAAGATATTAGAAATGTCGTAAAACAAAGAATGTAACAGAAGAAATAATGGAAGATCAGAAGTATGGTTTTTGAAAATTAACAGAAATAAGCAAGTGAGGTTCCCCAGACCGTCACTTAGTCTCTACTGTTCTTTGAAAAAAAAAGAAAGAAAAAATCAGCGTTGAATTATAATGACGTTGCGGAAACACCACAAATGATGTCGTTTTATCACGATTACTTGGATATGGATCAAACCCCACCAAGATCTACTAAGAAACGGGAATGAAGAATTGCAACCTTCATAATTTGGCGGTCTTTTCAAGAACATTTCAATCATTAGAATGTTTACGCATGGATTAGAGGAAAGTAGAATTTCTATTAAAATTATTATTTTATTCTTAAATTATTTTTAAAGTACTAGTATTTACAAAAACATTAAGTTTCTTGGCGCGCGGATAAATCGATAACACCATCATATTTTTTAACAGATTGTCATGGTGATATATTTTGATGTTTTTGCAATTTATAAATGATTTGTTCGATGGTAATTAGTAAGACTTTCATCGTATTTTCTAACTGTGACTCTATATATTTGCTTTTTTACCATTTTGTGTTCTATCGGTTCTATCATAGAACTTCTGTGCGTTTTATGAAAAAAAAATGAATCGACCGGAAAAGCATGGAGTTTATTGCACAGACGAACTTCACGCCCTCTGTTGGACCTCCTGTCAGTCGCCATTTTGAGAATCGTGTTTCCTGTTCACGTTGTCTCTGTCGTTGACTTTTCCTTCACTGTAGCGCGTGGCTGTAAAATGGCTGAGGTAAGTTTGAGAATTTTCATCGTAGTTTATCCTTGTCATCTCAAGTTTTAAATACAACTCATTATTACTTGGACATAATTCGGATGATGTTTTATCCATCCATTTAAAATTGGTTCTGGAGAATTAATTTTTCTTAACAGAGTAACCTCTAAATGAGTGCCTCATGAGATGTAAACATATTTTCACAGCAAGAAGAAACCCAGAAGAAGAAGAGGACGTTGAGGAAATTCACCTACCGTGGGGTGGATTTGGATCAACTTCTAGATATGCCTGCGTAAGTGAAGAACCACAGTAATTTTTATGGAAAAGCCTCATACCATTGCAAATGTTCCAGTGAGATGATTTTGGATCCAATGAGTTGTCAGGATTTTGCCCCACCGTTTGATTCTATTGAAATAATTAATGTAAAGGAATTTTAATGATAATTATGGATACATAATCTCTTGCATTATGGGGCCTCTTGGTCTTGCTTGGAATCTGCAGCTTAGGAAATGGCAAACTTGCTACTGTTAATATTTTTTAAATTCTTTTATAAACAACTCCCTCAGGAATATTTGCTCATTGTTTCTTTTGCATACAATCTTTGTAATATTAATATCTATGATTCTTTGCAGTGAGCCGTTGATGGAGCTCATGCATTCACGTGCTCGTAGACGTTTTTCTCGTGGGTTAAAGAGGAAACCAATGGCATTGGTTAAGAAACTCCGAAATGCTAAGAAGCAAGCCCCACCTAATGAGAAGCCTGAAATTGTCAAGACTCATCTTCGCAATATGATAATTGTTCCTGAAATGGTTGGCAGTATTGTTGGTGTTTACAACGGCAAAACTTTTGGCCAAGTTGAAGTCAAGGTAAAGTTTTCCATATCAATTAAGTTTGCTTCCTACATTTATGAAGTTGAAGTGTTTTCTTGTTAAGGATTAGGACATCAAGGTTCATGAAGCGGGCAGGGTTGAAAATGCTTGTTTGCTTTTTTGAATTCAATTGAATTGGTGCCTTATTTTATGTAGTGAGACTCGGACCATCAGGCCTGCTCTTCCGTCTGAGCACACATTTTTCTACCCTCCTTTCTCCAACTAGTGGAGAAATGAGATATTTCGTGGGTGATGAACAGGCGATTTGAATTTAGTTCAGAGGTGTCATTTAGGCTTGAGGATCTTTTACATGCAAGTAAATCTACTAACATGGGACAGCTGGCTTTACTTCCCCTCCAAGGGAAGGCGTATGAATGATTTTTTCACCTTTAAAATACCAGGATGTCAATTGGGTTTGAACCCGCGAACTTGGATGTAAGTCCGATAAGCTACCCATTACACCATCGCGCTGACAAACTTTAAACCTGGAAAAATTTTTCTCTTCCATTTACAATTTCTACAAATTTCGGCTTAAATGTAGTATATGGTACAACCTAAGGGAGTCGTTTAAACTGGCGGATCACGCCATACTGGTGTTAACTAGGCAGTTAGACTTCAGGAGGATTTCTTGAAAAGTGATGTCTTATAAAAGTTAATTGGTAATATTGCATTGGATACTGAAGGATGTTTATAGCGAACGCAAGGGCCGAAGGCCCAAGTCTCGCTGTGACTTGGATCTGGGTGAGCAAAGCGAGAAAACTTGCCTTTGAAAGAAATTGGCATTACAGTGCGGGGACAAAGCAAATGAAGGGAAAATCTCCTATCCGTAATTTTTATTCATTTCTATTTGAGCACATACAGTAATTAGGATTTAAGCCGTGCCGCCATGCTTCTCTAAGGGTGTACTGTATACTAAATTTTAACCCAAATTTCTTTTACTATTTGTAGTCTTACTATGAACAATTACATTGTCATTACCTTATTACAAATGCCTTGAGAATAAGAATATTTTCTTACTTTTGTCTTCTCTAAAACCTCTATTCAAATGTAAGCGTCTGTATTTATCAAGATGTGAAAAATGTCTATGTAAATTTGTAAAACAACTGTTGCTGATTCATACAATTGGGAGCTTATATGTCGCTATAGTGACGTCAGTATGGGAAAGTTCAACTGCCAGATAGGATGAAACCGTGAACAGCTCTTTTACATTAATTGCACAGTTAAATAAATCCTAGTATAGTTGACATGCGTTTGAGAGAAACTGCCCACTAGAATTTGAAAATTCCTTTTTTCACAACTGTGCCTGAAATACCCACAACATGTTGCTTCAAGTACCTGAGAAGGGTGTTCTCCTTTTGAAACTATTTTTATCCAGTCTGGTGGTGCATTGTCAGACTAAAATTTGTGTAGAATCTAATTTAGGTGTGAACATGGCGTAAGAATCAAATGTTGAGAGAATTGTGGCTTGCTTGTCTAGTTGGGAGAAAAGCTGACCTCTCTTGGTTATATAGTTGATCAAGGCCATGTAAATAATTATCCCTTTTGGATTGCATCTAACCACTAAATATTGAGAGGGAAATCGACAGTTCAAGGGTGAGGGGTAGTTAATGGGTTTTAGGTGGAATCTTCTGAGGATGAGCGGCAGTGATTCATGTACATAATGTGATTGATAATTATAAGAAGCAAGGGATGGGAGATTTTGCTAGCGAACTGCCCATGCCTTTGTGTACGTTCAAAAAATTAAAATAATTTTAATGCTTTGTGATTGGTTACTCTCTTCTATCATTTCACATCCTAATTCCTCGTTGGAGCACCATAACTATTTCATTATTCTTTGTGTAGGTTGAATAACGGAGTGGTTTGGCAAACAAGTTGCATTTCTTATGCTCTTCTGATCATTTGTTTTTTGATTGAGTGTTCGTTACAATGGTGAGAATATATGTGGGTCTTAACATGTGCTGAAAGGAGTTTTTGGCCTCGATTATTGGATTCAATATTGTGGATTGATTGTGTCAAGGTTTAGGTGTACAATGTGAAAGTGCCCTCTGAGTTGTATGATAGCTTCTAATGAAGGGCAATAAGAAAGGTCATTCATATGCTGAAGTGCTCTGTGTGAAAGGGGATGTGGTTTGAGAGGAACAAAATAAGTATGAAAGGTTCTTGTCTTTCCTTGGCAGCATCTCCAACTGATATGAAACGTGAAGAAAACGTTGATTGTTAAGTTTAATTCATTTATTTGAGAGAACTTTTCGTAATGGTAGAGGGAGTCCTTAGAGACCCCTGATGCTCCTGAGACTGCTGAATTCTGAATTTCCTTTTGAGAGAGACTTTGTACAGTGCCTTATTTGAGGTGGCTGGTGCTGGTTCAGCAGTATTTTACCTGTAAAGATTCCATGGAGCATGTCTGTTTTGATCACCTCAAATTCTTCTTTTTGAGTAGTTACACACTGGTCATGAATGCAAACTAATAACTTTTTTTGCTATTGAATTAGACATTTGTGTACCTCATGCAATTTGTTGTAAGGTGTGATTTTCACAGCCCAACATCTGAACTCAAATATTTGACGAAAACAACTTTTTTGATGTAGAGGCAAGGGAGTTCAGCAGCCATCCCAAAATCAGCAGTAACTTACAGGATGAAAAATGACTTGTTATCCAGAATATAATGTACTTTCCCACATTATCCATTTTTGATGAAACAATCCATAAAGTGGAGAGACCATTTTATTTTATAATTTTCATAATCCCCACACTCGGTTCATCGAGTTTCCAGTGAGAGAGGAAACTAAACAAGTGTGTAATACAAACACTTCAGTAGTTTTAATCACATCCATGTTTATTCTTACTAGTATTGTATCACCAACATTGGAAATTGACTTTGGAATATAAATATAGCTTTATTAGTCACCAAATAATTTGACAACAGTTCCATGAACTTCCTGTTTTGTATTGTAGGAGTAGCAATTGATAACAGTAAATAGAGTGAAAACTTGTATTCGTAAGCACAGGCACTGTGATCAGCAGAGGCAAACTATTGCCACTGCAGTATCGAACTGGAAGGTCCTAGGGTGGTGGTGGACAGTAGACTAGTGGTCAGGTGGGGAATTCTAGCTGCCAGCTTCTCTGATCAGCAGCTTTACTTCAGTCTCCAGTCAATACTAGTCAAATGCTGCCTGAACAATCTGCATAAACCAAGCACTCCCTCACACACCCACTTGTGCTACACTACTAATGTCTGTCAGTAGCTTGGTGCTGTTCCGGTTGTAGCAATGCTCTACTTGTATGTGGTGGAAACATTGTAATTCGATGGGCTTCTGGGAAAATGGTACCCAAGAACATACCTTGCTCTGAATCTCTGAACACATCTTGACAAGTCATCTAATACAAACATCACCATGCACAATAAAAAGAGATTTTCAGTTATATGAACTCGAGGACTACAACATATAAAACATGACTTAGTGGCTTTGCTTAAAGAAAAGAGTGCAGTCTTGCAGAATTGAATAGTAATTATTTAAAGTAATCAGTCAATATCTCAATGAAAAAAATCTTGCTTTTAAGGTGAATTTCTCAAATTGCTAAATCATATTTTTCTTATCAAGTGTATCTTGAAGATAAAAGAAAATGCTCTTATGGGTTAGCTCCATCACTGGACACAATTGTGTAAACAATATTAATGTATTTTCCTTTAAGGCTACTAATACCTAATGTCTCACAAGACTAATGTTTAAATTTTGATTTCAGCCTGAGATGATTGGCAGATACCTTGGAGAGTTTAGTGTTACTTACAAGCCTGTGAAACATGGCCGACCTGGTATTGGTGCCACTCACAGTTCAAGATTCATCCCATTGAAGTAAATTTGTAATGTATTTGACAATATTAAATTGACTTGCTTGTCTTCATTTTGATTTTATTTCCTCAACCTTTATATTACAACTACACCACCCTGGGAGAACAGGGTCTCAAAATCACTAGTTAGGGGTGTGGGTAAATGAATGTAGTGGTGTGCAAGAGCGTACGTGTTGTGAGTTTACACGATACAGTACTGTTGTCCATTCCATAACTCTTAGTTTAGGAACAAAAATGTTAAAATTATTGAAGAATGTCTTTGGTGGTTAAATGATTATATTAATTTATAATACATTGCATTGCCATATACTTTATTCAAAATTCAGTTTCACATTTGGCAATTGCTGTTGTTTGAATAACATTGTGTGCTTGACAGAAAGTGGCTGACAGGACACTGGGTTCTACTATCCAATCAAGAGGCTTCAAATTGTCACTGCAGAGTTGCTAATGCTTATTAAGAAAAGTTAAGTTTTGCAGTATAAAGCAATTGATAATTGAAGGTCGCCGAGTGGCCAAGAGGGTTATTTTGCGCATTGACTTGTTGGGCTGAGTAGAGGGTAACCTTGCTCTGTCCCACTATTCAAGCTGTGAAGTAGACAAATAGTTGGACAAGTGCTCCATTTAGTTCTGCTATGTGATGTCCAAGATTCTAGATGCTCTAGTGGGTTCTGGATACCCGAATATTTAGTTTACAACAAAATGTGGGTCCAATCTTTCTGGGAACAATGCTAGTGGCTAAATCAAGTAATGATTTTCATTAACCACTGATTTTATCGCAGTTTTAAAGTTCTATCTGTAACTCCGCACGTAAAGGACCTATTAGTGTTTACAAAAAGGGCAAAAGTGAAGAAATGCATGCAATTTTGTACCCATGGAGATGTCACCCAACTGTCAGATTAGATTTTGAGCTGAAAGTTTGTTAATACGGTAAGTTTTGTGCTTTTCCGAAAATCATTAAGATATTTTAAAGGTATTTTCCATAAAGCCCCAGTGACTGAACATTTTCTGGAAAATGGCTGAATATTTTTTCCTTTAATTTTCTGCTCAAATAGAAAAATAGTGCCTTTATAATGCTATAGAGAATTTTCATTTAACCTGAATTTTGCAAAAATCCTATTTAAGATGGGAGTTGAGAAAAATTTGAGTATTCGACTCAACAAAATTTTTGCCTGAAATATGTTATTGCTAGCTATTAACTGGTTTTATAGTGTTAACTTGTGAATGATTGCATTCAATGATTTTTCTTCACATTTAAAAAAGATTGAAATTCCATAGGTAGAATCACCTTATGTTAATTGCAATCGTCCGATTTTTAATAAGAGAAAATGTAGCCCACGTAATACATAAAACAATGTAAAACACATGTATATATTTATGGTACATATGTACACATACACCATGGTATATTTATTAAAAAAGAAATGAATAAATTTCTAGTTAAATTTAAAGGAGACGTGGTGACTCAGTGATATTGCACTGGCTTTGCTTAGGATTTTTATCTGATTTCCATTCGGGACAACTCAGCCTCTTTTCCAAGTGAGCTTCAGGGTAAAGGTGGCTGGAGGTTTATGCCCCTACATGTTCCTGAGGAATAGATGTGGCCCTACCAAGGTAAAGATACCTTGGTAGGGATGGAACCTTAACCTACTGAAATAGCAAAAATTGGTTTACAAGTACTATTCATCTTTCATACTCGACAGACACTCTTGTAATGAACTTGATAAAGTCTACCATACCAATATTGGTCTTAATTCAATTGAATCTTCCATAAAAAAATATTTTGTAGCTCCATTAGAAGTACAAGACCAGATAGTACACTAATTTCAGTCATGGAAAGAAAGAAAACTTATTGCACCAATACAATTTTATTGCAAAATATATATAACCTTCAATAGTTTCTTGGCCATTTGTCTTCAATTAAAATTTTAATCAACTGAATTTGCAGGAGGCAAATCAAGTGACCATCAATCAATTTGTGATTAATCAACTATCACAAATTTTACTAAAATCCTTTTATCAATTACAATTTCAGATTAAATCATTGAACAAATATTAATTTGTACTCTAGTGGCAGCATTCATTTTTGTTTTTAAAAGAAAAGTAAAATCTGGAAACAGTAATTGAAATGGGGATTATATAAAGAATTTTTTTTCTCTCATTGGTTCCAAAGCTGGTATGTCTTAAAAGTGTGTTTCAGGATTGATTTTATTTTTCACAGATTTAATTTTTAATACTTTCCATTATTACAATTATTTGTAGTAAATTACATTGCCAAGTCAAATACATAATACAGGCAAGGTGAATGCATACCCAATAACACAGACAAAAAGAATCTGTACTGTTTATGAAGCAATGTGATTGATTAAAAATTACAGCAGTAATCATCAACCCTACATTAATGCTTACATCCAAAAAATTATCTTGGAATTAATTCAGATATATTTTAACAAGTAGTTCTCTCTTATGCCTTCACTCATCAAGTATTTTATGATTTAAGTCTAAGGCTAATTTTTACAAAAATTTAATGAGGAAAGTTGCTTTTTATCATACATTATACTGGGTAAACATTGAAAATTCTGAATTCCATCCGAGTCCAGGAATACATTTATCAAAGAAAGCATGTTAGCTCAAGTGTTTCAATAATTATAATTGATGAAATACTTGTCGAATTTCTGAAGTTTCTTTGCTTCAGATCTAGTTTTAGTTATCAAAACCTCAATTAACTTGTCAAATACACAATTAAAATATAAATATATTTCTGAAATGCATATTATAATTTTCTCACCTCACATAAAATTTCTATCCGATTTAGTTGTCGAGATCAAAATTACATTTTTATGTACTAATGGGAATCAGGAGTGATAGCTCCACTAAAGACTAATTCAATGGCTGCTTGCACATCACCTCCAGTAGCTTGAAGAGCTTGAATATTCACAGCATTGTTGTGTAATCCCATTTCTCTCATCTGCTGAAGCTGCCTTGATAAACGCTGAGTCAACGCTTCAACATCTGGATTTTCTCCAGAACCCCCAGAAGACTGAAAATTCAAGGAGATAAAAATTAATATTAATGTAAAATACAAATAATTTACAGAAAATGCATAATACTATTTTCATTAAACAAATATATTAAAAAAAGTGAATTCTCTAATTACATATCACTGATTTTTATAATAATATTGAAGCTAGATCACAATCATCATTTTATTGTACATCAGTAGAGCCTGGAAGTTCAGACATTTATTTTACGTAAAATAGGCAGGCAAAAAGCCATGAAGATGATGAAATTCATATTTAAAAGGGAATATTGTAAAAAATCAATAAATAAAATTATTCACATTTTTGCTCAAACTATAAAATATACATTAGCATTTAACATGTTACAAAATATTTTCTTTTTAATGGTGATTCTACATGACCATGTGGTATGATGGCTAAGTATTTATTTTACTCGCGACGCTATCTCTTAGAAATGCTATTGTGAACTTCCTTTTGGATCTTCATATGCCATCAATGAAAATTGATTTTTTTTTCCTCCTCCCCTTGCATTTGTGGAAGCCAACCCTGAGAACCTTACATTATTATAAAGAGACGTTCTCAAAAGGGATCATTGGCCGTACTCAAAAGTAGATTGGGATTCCTTGTGAGAGAACAAAATCTCAACTGGTTTCATATTTCTTTTCTATTTAGATTTTTATCACAGCCTCTGCTTCCAGAGAAAAACAAAACAATCTTGCACAAAGTGTTCTCCATGCTTGCAGGTATATATTCAACTTGATCAGGATTGGTGCTAGGGGGAAAAAAGACAAAAATAGGAAGCAGGAGCTAAAATAGGGAAAAAATGCAAAATGAAAATAAGTAATAATGAGTGAAAAGGCAAAAATAAACAAAATCAATATCTTCTGAAACAACCTAAGAAGTACATACCTATTGTTAAGTCATAAAATAGTAACTATTACAAAAAGGTATTTTGCCAAACTACTGGGCTTTATACATCAGTATTATTATTATTTTTTTTTTTTCAAAATTAAGGATATTAAACTCAATGAAAGAATAGACTTTATGATCAAAGTTGAAAGATTCTGGGAGATTTTTTTCCTCCTTTCTAGGATTGTCTGCAGATACATTAAAACCTCCTTGGTTTTAGAATATTTTAGTCAAGAAAGAATGAGCCTAATGCAAATAGCCTGTGGTTCAGAAAGAGTGCCACAAAATTATGCGAGTGCTATACAAATAATTTAATAAGGAAAATATGATTAACTTGACATTTAACTCTGACACTCTTTAAGACTACATAATACATTATTACAGTTATTATTAGCTGACTAAAAGATAATGTTCTAACAATCCCCTTCTTCCCTATATATATGCTGAAGGTAGATGAAGGTTTTGTATGATTTTTAAGATACCATCAAAACAAAACCCAGTAATGGATTACTGCTGGATAGGGAATGCAGAATTTTACAATTAATGATATAAGGAAAACAATAGGAGCACGCTTAACCTGCAACATACATTGCTACTTGTGTTACCATGAAGCATAACTTGAAAGAGTGCCAGATTTAGGTCCTTAAAGCTAATGCAGTTTTTTAGAAGGTATCCCATTCTCTTGTTAACAAGGTTAGGCAGAAATATTCGAAGTTGTTCCAGATTGAAGTAACTTTTGTTTTTAAAGCAATGATATAAATTGTGTACAAGGTTTGCACAGGTCCAACGAGAAATTATAATATTTTTGTAATTTAATGGGAATTAAGGGCTTGTTACTTTTGCACAATAGATTAGTACAAGGAGGAATTGCAAACAAACATATGTAATTCTTATTTTGCAGAAGAATTTCACCCAGGTTTTTAAAGGAAGACCATGCTGAAAAATTTTGTTCACAAAGGAATGTTTATTGGAAACTGAAATAGTACAGATAGTGACTTCCAAGATTTGAAGTCTTATCACTTTCGACTCTATGGACTTATCTGATGTGTCATCATCAGACTGCTGTGTCCGTTGCTATGGACGTTCCTCCCTATAGTCTTTGACAGGTCGGACTATTGTAGGCACCTAGAATATGCCTTCTAATATCATTAAGGTGGTTGCAGCACAAACGCCAATGTGTGCCTCTATTTTGTGCAAGTATTTGGAATTTTTCCAGGAAGCAATTGAATATTCATACTTGCAGGCACTGACAATTTCTTTCAGGTCTTTCTTTGTAAGAAGGGTTTTTGCTATTAGGCTCATATATAGATATTTAGAAGGTATAGTAGCAAAATTCACTGTGACTCTCAACATCAAGTTCAAGAGTTTTTCATTAATGGATCAGAAGTGGATTCTTCTAATGAGGATGTCATTTTATTCCTGGACTGTTGTCTAGTTCGAGCAATGAAAATTATATCAAAGAAAGTAATAATGATATGAATGATTCTATTGGTGAGACTTCATAAATTCAAGAGATTTCAGTTCCTTTAGAATGCTGGGAACTTGTTAAACAATCTGAATTACAAGTGTTTCAGAAAACCACTGAAATAAAATTTCCTGTAAATGAAAACAGCTGAACTAGACTATTTTTTGTCCTTTTTAAATATTTTTTTTACTACAGTATATTTCAAAACATAAAGGCAGAAATAAATAGATATGCAAAAGGAACTATATCTGAACTTCAACAAAATATAATTATGGTGCATCAATATTGTTGACACATAAGTTTACTGTGCTTCCTTCCTTATAGGCAAAGATAATGTGTGACTGTCAGGGACGAGGAGATGGGGCTTTGCAGGTGGTGGACGTCTCAATGTTGTTAGTCAAAGTTAACAGAAGACTCGCTGCGAATAGGTTCTCAACGCGTCTGGCAGATAGCAAGTTAGTAGTTCCAATGTCACCCAGTGTGTCTGAATCTTTCCTACAGACTACAAACTGTGACGATAGTATATCTGATGAGAATTATATTTTAGCTTTCTTGTAAGTTTCTACAAACCAAATTTCTATGTTTTATTTGTAATTTTGTACAAAGAAATATGCAAAAGCACGTAATCAAAATGCTTCATCACAAATGGAACTTGCGTTTGTTGCCCATGGAAGTTGGCAGTACTACATCTAATATTGTGGCCAACAAGACAGATAGATTCTACTTTCATTGGGCACAGTAGTTACATACCTGAACAACACAATGACAGAAAAGCTCTTGCCATGGTTTTCATCAAGCGTGACTTCCTTACCCAAATAGACTTAAATGAAAGAGTTATCACAAAATGTACTATGGGCAAGAAAAGGCGAGCTGACTTCTTGAACAAATAGGCAAGTGCACATGTTCTTCATTTAAAAATTTTAATAGTGATACCTCAATGTTGTGGAAATGGGAATGTCTTCAAGAAAAATGTGAAGTTTTAAATACAGTGTATTTCTATAAAGGTATATATAAATTCATTGTACACCAGTCTCAGCATCAGAGTCCTTCCACTTAATGCCATTATTCGGTAAACGGTGTTCGGCATGAGCAGCCACTGGTGTCCAAAATAGAAGGGTAAAAAATGTTAGTTGAGTTTTCTATTTCATTTCATTACTTTCGTAACAGCTATTAAAGGGAGCCTAAACAAATTGACCAAAGGAAAAGGAATACTTGCTGAGAATTGCATCATATATGCAGCAATTTGTTCATAACGAATGTTTCTAAATGAAAGCTTCCTAAAAGTCATCATGAATATCCATTTAAAATATATGGTGTGGGTTTGTCAGCAACGAGGTATGGTTATGACCTGAAGAAATATAAAAAGTGAAATCAAAGAATATGGTTGTTTTTTTAAATTGGATAAGAACATTAACTGCAAATGAACATCAGCATTGTCCATATATTCTAAACCAACTCAGTACAAGAACTGAATCATTTGTGGAATTCACTATTGATTACAATTAGATACATTCTTTCAATTACATACAACTGACAAAGGTTGGTTGATATTTCCAGTACTAGGACTTATGCACACCCTCACTCCTTTAAACAATACTAAATTGTATCAAGTTCACTCACAGCATTTGCATCTGCGCCTGTTGAGACTGAACCAGAAGATCCTACATTTGCAATGGCTTGCTGCATAGCCTGGCTGAACATTTCAGATGTAATGATGCCACTGCTCCCATGAATACTGCCAGCACCTGATGCCCCAGAACTTGATGGTTGCGGTGAAGCTGAAATAAAACATTTGCATTCAATACATTTTTCTGAAAAAATGTATATAAATTAGTATTGAACATTATGTACCCCACATTTCAAAAGATGTAAACATGCAGAGAGCTGTAATGCAGAAGTTCACTAATTTGAAGTCAATAAAATTCTCAATAAAGTCAATAATTACAGGGGCATTTAAGTACAATGGAAATGTGCAAGCATGATTGATTTTACTACTGTTTAAAAGTTAAATGTAAAATATGTGGCAAGTGTTACTGATCAAACATTGCAGTATAAGCTAACTATATGTTTACAAACTTATACAGGCATTGATAATCTTAAGTAGACCTCAAATAACCAAAAGAATTGTACTATAAATATACTGTTAAAACAAATTAAATTATTTAATTTTGACTAACTTGAAAGAATGTCCTTAAACTTTTCAACAGAATTAAATTGTTTGCTACTATTCTTCATGTGGTTTTCTTAATGGCAACACCTTAAGAAACTTCACATACTACCTGTGGCTGAAGCAAGAGCCGCAGCTAATTGCGCTGCTGTGATTGTTGAGAATGCAGGCTCTCCCATATTATCACCTGGACGGGGCTGTGAATCTGAAGACTGATGGTGACAAACAATGAGACAGTTTGCATTTGAGGTAATGATATAAAGAGATGCGTTTAATTGAATATTCTGTATGATTAGATATAAAATAAATGAAATTTAACTACTCTACCTGAGATGAATCCATTTCTTCCTCGTCACTAAGGGCATCTAAAGAATAAGAATAACCAGAACTTGATGGTTGATTAGTTGAATTTCCAGTACTTGCCTCTTCATGCACTGCAGCAGCAATGTGATTAGCTGCTTCAGCTAATGATGGATGAAGATCTGCAATCCTGGGGGGGGGGGATAACCTCAATACACATTCATACAAACAATTTAAGAACACATTTGAAGCACTAAATTTTTTTGAATCATGGTTTCTTAGTAATAGCTATTCAAGAATTGTCATACTACCTCTTAACTGTGTCTGCATTCTCCATATGAACAAGTAATTCTGGGTCCTGAAGTATTGAAATAGCAACTGGATCTTCTCTTAAGCCAGGGGTAGCAGTAATTATGTATTCCAAAACTTCAGGTCGACTCAAGCGCTTCAAAAGTAAAGTCCTTTATTTAGAATTTCCTTCCCCAAAGTGATTTTTAGCATGAACGTTTTCAAAAAAATGTTACATACATGTAGTGCACTCCGATAACTGGGATGTCGGGTAAATGTACGAAAAGCCAGTACAAGGTCTTGAATGTCTGTTTCTGACATTGTTTTGGCAGGAACGGCAGGTTCTAGAAACGCAAGAAAACATAAAAATTCTGCCTGTTTCTCATTATGTATGAAATTCTCAAAATATTACCTTTCTCTTTCTTTTTAATTACATGGACCATTACTCCATGTCGAAGACCACAAGACCTTAAAGTTGCAGTGTCATCTAACACATTTCCACAATACACCAGTTCTGTAATAAAATATTCAATGACCAGTACTGTTACTTTTCATAACTATTATCACAAAAATTACTTGTACCTTACCCAGGAAATTTTTCGGAAGGTTAGTAGTTTTTGAGGCTTGTAATTTTAGCTGATCTACCTTACTATCTAGGTTAACGCCATCAATTTTTACGCGCTGAAAAGAATGTGGAGACAGTCGAATTCCGAATACAATACTAGTTCCCATTGTGTATTAAGTGATAGGAAAAACGCTGGAACCACCACAATTTTACTTCATATCTCACAATGGGGCAAACACTGGAAAACACAACGAGGAGATAATTGACAAATGACAGTACACCAGCTGCTCGAGAAGAACACCAGGGCCGAAGAACACAACGAACAATGACGGACCACGAACTAGAGAACAGAGTGTTAGGCCACGAACACCTGCAGAAACACCAACTTTCTCGATTGCTTGATGACAAACAATGTGTGTGTTTTTCAAGTGTAGAGCAGGGGTGTAGAATTGGCTAAACTGTCTTGTGATTGTGCATAGAATGCGCGTAATTTGCTTGACAAGTCAGAATCAAAACAAACTTGCAGTAGGTATTACATATTATTTCTATTAGAAAGTATATGCATATTCAAAATTCCGCAGCAAAGGCACAAATACTAGTAATTGTTTCTCTTTATTCCAGGTACAAAGATGACAATTTCTTTTGTTATATAATAATTTTCTTATTTATTTGTATAGTTATTTTATCATGTTATTTCAATTTCAGTGTCAAGAGTGAAAAAGATTGCACATGCATACGTATGCATCGTCCAACACTCCATTCGTTTTATTTCAAGAAATAAAACGACGCCAAATGCAAGCATTTCCCCCCCCAGAGGCAATCTCTGTTGGCCAGGATATGTACTCTTATCAACGATTCGGAGTGAAGCGTGAATCATCCATCACATACAAGGATAGCAAAGTAATTGCGTTTGCAGTAAGTTCCGGGATGATATTGGAATTTTTTTAACCCCATGAATTCTCAGTCTGAAATAAAAATACTTGATATGCATCGAACAATGTAGCGAATGTAAATAGATGCAAGCATTGCGATATCATTTAAGTCATAATCTGACTATAAATAGGTTGCACGAGTACTTCGTAGCTCCTTTCATTCCCAAGGAATTGTGATAGCCGCAGAACATATCGAGCGAGGAATATACCCTCAGTCAAGGATGGTTTTGAAAGAAACACAAGTGCAATTAACATATCATTACTGTAAAGTGGTGCCTGTTTTATCATTGAACCGACGGCATTTCAATTGTTCATTAATAATACGAAAATGCATTGCCACTGAAATATATCGTAAAATAAACACGTTTTTCTCAGAATTCACTTAAACCGTTCTGGTTTTCACTCACTCGAATGCGCAGATTTTGACTCTGTCCCAGGAGAAAATAATTTTAAATATTAATTTTCATCATAGTTCCCATTTTCATTTTCACATCACCCCCAGTGCTCTTGAGAATTCGTCAAAGTAGTTGTGCCGACAACGCAACAAAATCTTCCTTCTTTATTAATTTAATGTTAACAATTTATTAATGCCAGAAAACAAGTATGCATACGAAATGACCAGAAGCTATAACTATGGTAGGGACTATTTCAGTTAAATGGCTCGGAACGCAAATCAAATTGTAGATGGAGATCTTGCGACAAGAACACATCTTCGTAGTTTGTTTGCTTGTTGTTGTTGTTGTTGTTGTTGTTGTTGTTATTCATCTTTTTTCTTTCTCTTCTTCGTCTTTGCGACAACCCGCAACATTTGCTCACACTCATTCACACTTCAGATTAACTATTAATACCGTATTTTAGTACATTTCAACACCCCTCGTATATTTAATGAAATTTTAAATACACAATTTCAATTTTTTTTCTTTCTTTCCGGTTTTTTTAAATTGAAAAATTGAAGATGCATTTAAATAAACAGTTTCACGTACCGTTTGATATTAATAATATCATAGGCATTACACAAATGTAGTAAATTCTAATTTATTAATCATCACTTTTGTCGTTCGTTTTCGTCACAGTTTAAGGGACCTCCCTCTTCACCTAAAAGCGATCGTATTTTTTTAACTTAAGGCTTAAAGGCTTTGAAGAGCACAAAAATAAAAGTATGAAACATTTCCACTCGTGTAACAATTGAAGGTAAAAATAATCAATATATATTATACAACTTTCGTACTTTAAAATGAAAACAACGAAAAGCCTCTGATTATGAAGAAAAAGTAAATAACAGCCGATTCCTCGCCCAGAGAAAATGGGGGCCCCCCGCTTGAGTGTAACATAGACATATAAAATAAAATAAAAAAAAAAAAGATTTTTTCGGTGCCCCTTGCGTTTTGAAATTATTCATATTTTGAATTTGGGATTAAAAGATAATAGAAAATGGCAACCTCATATCTTTCGTTTATGTACTTTACTGCTTTGAAATAGGCCCATTTAAGGATAAAATGTAATGTACGAGGGAGGAGGCATGCGACTTATCATTGGCTTGTCACTCACGAGAAATGGAAGTGGAAGTGGCGTGCAATGAACCGAAGAAAGACGTTTCGGATCACGTTTTAATGAACTCGGGTCATGTTCTATCAGATCCGACATGCGCTACATTTCCGTGCGTAACTTATGACGCTCTCTTTGATACAACAGCATGACGTGTGGAAGGAAAGGAAGTGCGTCAAGAGGCCCACACGCACGGGAAACAGAATAGTTTTGAAGTACCCGTTCCGCTTTTTTTTCCAATCAAGCTGGCACGAGAATCTGCGAGAAAACGAGTAAATTGTCTGTGAAACGATTAGTCCAGTCATGTAGTGTACTAAAAATAATTGTGAGGTAATTTTGTTTCTATTTTTGATCTTTGGGGTGCTGAATACGAATCTGAAGATTGCCGAAAAATTCCGATGGAATTTTCTGATGGAGTTTTTTTATAATGAATGTTGAAAAATATCATTCTTTTTTCTGTTTTTGTACCTATATCTAGACAACTACAGAATTTCGGTAAAAATAAATCTTCTTTGTCAAAAATTCTCTACATACATTTTCCCCATAATTTAGTTACATCGTTTATGGTTGCACGTATTGTTTATGCGTAACTGGTAGTTGAAATGTGACAAATGCTGGCACAATTTATAACTTTATTCGGTGTCCTGTTGGAACAGCAAGCAAGAGACCTTATCAGTTTCAATAAACTACCTGCTTCGCTAATAATTTGTCTTAAAATTTAATTTCTATCTATGAAAAATATTTAAATAAAAAATTGGACCGGTTTTATGAAAGTGTCCTTTGATAAATTAGAGTCAAGCACAAATTACGCAAAAATCTAGTAGTTTTTCCAAAACAATTTTCCATGATTTTTTTAAAGAGTTGATTTTTAAGGTAAAAATCTCTATCTTCAATTTTATAGTTTTGAAATGCTGGATTTTTGCAATTTTCGAAAATAAAGGGTTTGCCGGAAATCAGACTGGCACCATTTTAACTTTCTCGCGCTTAAGAAGGAACTTCTTAAGACAAAGTTATGTATTACTGCGCGAAAAAAACGCGAATTTTCGGCAGAAAACTCTTATTACATGCCCCTTGTAACGAAAAAGTTGATAAATTCAGTTGCTTAAGTTAAAAAAATCCTTTAACACGTGGTGTAACCCAAATCCATGTTTTGTTGGCCCTTGATACCGAAAAGTCGATTGACGGCAAAACGTGTCTGTCTGTCCGTCTGTAAACAACGCTTGCAACACTGTTCAGCCGATTTTCTCCAAAATTGATACTTTCCGAACGATTGGGCTGACGTCGTGGCCCCTTAAATTTGAAAGTGATATTATAATATTGGGGGTACTTTACATGAAGCCCCTGGGACATATTCAAAATTTTTTAAGAAAAATAGCGCCATCGATTTTGATTAAATGTTGTTGGTGAATAGTCTGAAGGACATTAAAGAGAATGGCGCAGGTCTCATGTTGGTTAAAAATTCTGATTTTTCGAAAATGGAAAAAAAAATCGGTGGCTTGCAACTAAAATATTAAAGATAGAGAATTTTGTCGTTAATAAAATTTGTTCCCGAATGCTGGATTTTGAAACAAGGTCATGTACAATTTTTCGAAACTTTAAGAATTTATTGCGAAGTTTTGCGTGAAATAAAGACAATTTTAAATTTTTGTTTAAACATTTTTATCTTCAGATCGAAGACATTGTTCTTGATGAAATTTTGTTGGCGGATAAGCTGAAGGGCGTTTAAGAAAATGGTGCAAGTCTTATGTTGGTTAAAAACAGTGATTTTTCGAAAATTTAAAAAAGTCGAATGTTTTTCGGCGTCTTCCTACACCTATAATTATGAAGATACGCTATTTTTAATGAGATGTGTTCATTAAAAACAGATTTTCAAATAAGGTCGTGTTGAATTGATGATAATATATCGAAATTGCAAATATGAGTATTTTTCGTGTAGATGAGCGTCAAAATTATGAAAAAAAGAAGTCGCCCACTCTGAAAACCCTGCTCTTCCTTATCTTAATTTTAGAGGTTGTTTGGAAACAGTTAGATGCTACGTAAGTTGAGATGTGTTTATTCATGTTTTATATTTCTTTGTTCGTATCCCGCATTGAAGCTTTACTGATTAATCTCTTAGAACTTATTTAAAACCTATTTGAAATAAATATGAAATAACGATTGCTAGCCTTCAGTCGCGCGCTCCCAATTTACGCTGTTGCATGCTCCTAAGTTAGAATTTGTATATTCACATTTCATTTTATTATTATTATTCATTCTCATAATCATTATATTTATGTTATTTCATTTTAAATTACTTCCTTTAATTGTTTTAAATGTGAAAACGAATAGATGAGCGGTCATTGTTGGTTGTTGATACCCATTGTTGTATCGCCGCACAGATAAAGAAGCCGATAATGGCGGCTGCTCTTCATTCGCGATAATAACAATGAATACTTTTATATATTTGTAGAAAATTGCAATACCATCGTGTTTAGTAATTACTATTATATGTTTTTCGATCTATTTGCATTTGTTTGTCAATGCTATCAGTATCGTATTATTTATTAACTTTTAATTTTTTACTTCCTCGCATTCTGCTTATATTTCGCACCAAATGTTCTACGATTTCAAATGAGTTTTACAAAAAGTAATTCGGAGAGAAATTGTGTTATAATTAGTATTACATAACAATTACTAAGCGAGAAAGTATGTGCTGTTTTAGTACCCCCAGCTTCTTTATCCTTTCTCGTATAAGTACGTACGTACATACGGCGTAATATACGTAGTATAGAGAGTTATGTAATGCTGCGGAAAATCGATTTCGAAATATCAATGGAAATACACGTATTAGGGTACCTTGCAACTGAAAAATATTTTTTTCAGAACGTCCGTCTGACTGTCTATCCGTCCGTCTCGAACAGTACTAGCGCCAACATCATTACCAGATTTTTTTTTCCAAATTAATATTCCCTGGTTGACCTGGCCCAACCCGAAGCGCCACGGTTATGAAAAAGATTCTTTAAAATTTAGGTGTATTTTACAAGAAGCCCCAGGGACATTTTCAAAATTTTCTCAAAAACAGCTCCATTCCCCCCCCCTTATATTTCATGAAGACAAGTATGAAATACACGTACAAATGTGGCATATGTCCGATTTTCACTGTCTACTCTGAATTTTTGAAGAAAAAAAAGTTTCCGAAGTGTTCCTACTACTACAAAATTGAAGATAGAGGTGTACCCTTCAAGTAAAATTTTATCTCTCTATTTTTTAATTCTTTTATTAATGTCATGCACATTTTTTTTGAAAATTTTAGTAGTTTTCGGGCAATATTGTATGCAATATTAAAAATGGCTGTCTTTTCACAGTCTGTTGGCAACAATGACAACAATGCTCGAAGGATAGGTTTGGGGTACATCTTTCGCAACCCCACTCTCTTAACTCGGT